ACTCTGCCTGTGTCTCCTGTTCCTTACTCTGCCTGTGTCTCCTGTTCCTGACTCTGCCTGTGTCTCCTGTTCCTGACTCTGCCTGTGTCTCCTGTTCCTGACTCTGCTTCTGTCTTCTGTTCCTGACTCTGCCTGTGTCTCCTCTAACTAACTCTACATGTGACTCCTGTTCCTGACTCTGCTTGCGTCTCCTGTTCCTGACTCTGCCTGTGTCTCCTGTTCCTTACTCTGCCTGTGTCTCCTGTCCCTGACTCTGCCTGTGTCTCCTGTTCCTTACTCTGCCTGTGTCTCCTGTCCCTGACTCTGCCTGTGTCTCCTGTTCCTTACTCTGCCTGTGTCTCCTGTCCCTGACTCTGCCTGTGTCTCCTGTTCCTTACTCTGCCTGTGTCTCCTGTCCCTGACTCTGCCTGTGTCTCCTGTTCCTTACTCTGCCTGTGTCTCCTGTCCCTGACTCTGCCTGTGTCTCCTGTTCCTTACTCTGCCTGTGTCTCCTGTCCCTGACTCTGCCTGTGTCTCCTGTTCCTTACTCTGCCTGTGTCTCCTGTCCCTGACTCTGCCTGTGTCTCCTGTTCCTTACTCTGCCTGTGTCTCCTGTCCCTGACTCTGCCTGTGTCTCCTGTTCCTTACTCTGCCTGTGTCTCCTGTCCCTGACTCTGCCTGTGTCTCCTGTTCCTTACTCTGCCTGTGTCTCCTGTCCCTGACTCTGCCTGTGTCTCCTGTTCCTTACTCTGCCTGTGTCTCCTGTCCCTGACTCTGCCTGTGTCTCCTGTTCCTTACTCTGCCTGTGTCTCCTGTCCCTGACTCTGCCTGTGTCTCCTGTTCCTGACTTTCCCTGTGTCTCCTCTAACTCTACATGTGACTCCTGTTCCTGACTCTGCTTGCGTCTCCTGTTCCTGACTCTGCCTGTGTCTCCTGTACCTGACTCTGCCTTTGTCCCCTGTTCCTGACTCTACCTGTGTCTCCTGTACCTGACTCTGCCTTTGTCCCCTGTTCCTGACTCTACCTGTGTCTCCTGTACCTGACTCTGCCTTTGTCCCCTGTTCCTGACTCTACCTGTGTCTCCTGTACCTGACTCTGCCTTTGTCCCCTGTTCCTGACTCTACCTGTGTCTCCTGTACCTGACTCTGCCTTTGTCCCCTGTTCCTGACTCTACCTGTGTCTCCTGTACCTGACTCTGCCTTTGTCCCCTGTTCCTGACTCTACCTGTGTCTCCTGTACCTGACTCTGCCTTTGTCCCCTGTTCCTGACTCTACCTGTGTCTCCTGTACCTGACTCTGCCTTTGTCCCCTGTTCCTGACTCTACCTGTGTCTCCTGTACCTGACTCTGCCTTTGTCCCCTGTTCCTGACTCTACCTGTGTCTCCTGTACCTGACTCTGCCTTTGTCCCCTGTTCCTGACTCTACCTGTGTCTCCTGTACCTGACTCTGCCTTTGTCCCCTGTTCCTGACTCTACCTGTGTCTCCTGTACCTGACTCTGCCTTTGTCCCCTGTTCCTGACTCTACCTGTGTCTCCTGTACCTGACTCTGCCTTTGTCCCCTGTTCCTGACTCTACCTGTGTCTCCTGTACCTGACTCTGCCTTTGTCCCCTGTTCCTGACTCTACCTGTGTCTCCTGTACCTGACTCTGCCTTTGTCCCCTGTTCCTGACTCTACCTGTGTCTCCTGTACCTGACTCTGCCTTTGTCCCCTGTTCCTGACTCTACCTGTGTCTCCTGTACCTGACTCTGCCTTTGTCCCCTGTTCCTGACTCTACCTGTGTCTCCTGTACCTGACTCTGCCTTTGTCCCCTGTTCCTGACTCTACCTGTGTCTCCTGTACCTGACTCTGCCTTTGTCCCCTGTTCCTGACTCTACCTGTGTCTCCTGTACCTGACTCTGCCTTTGTCCCCTGTTCCTGACTCTACCTGTGTCTCCTGTACCTGACTCTGCCTTTGTCCCCTGTTCCTGACTCTACCTGTGTCTCCTGTACCTGACTCTGCCTTTGTCCCCTGTTCCTGACTCTACCTGTGTCTCCTGTACCTGACTCTGCCTTTGTCCCCTGTTCCTGACTCTACCTGTGTCTCCTGTACCTGACTCTGCCTTTGTCCCCTGTTCCTGACTCTACCTGTGTCTCCTGTACCTGACTCTGCCTTTGTCCCCTGTTCCTGACTCTACCTGTGTCTCCTGTACCTGACTCTGCCTTTGTCCCCTGTTCCTGACTCTACCTGTGTCTCCTGTACCTGACTCTGCCTTTGTCCCCTGTTCCTGACTCTACCTGTGTCTCCTGTACCTGACTCTGCCTTTGTCCCCTGTTCCTGACTCTACCTGTGTCTCCTGTACCTGACTCTGCCTTTGTCCCCTGTTCCTGACTCTACCTGTGTCTCCTGTACCTGACTCTGCCTTTGTCCCCTGTTCCTGACTCTACCTGTGTCTCCTGTACCTGACTCTGCCTTTGTCCCCTGTTCCTGACTCTACCTGTGTCTCCTGTACCTGACTCTGCCTTTGTCCCCTGTTCCTGACTCTACCTGTGTCTCCTGTACCTGACTCTGCCTTTGTCCCCTGTTCCTGACTCTACCTGTGTCTCCTGTACCTGACTCTGCCTTTGTCCCCTGTTCCTGACTCTACCTGTGTCTCCTGTACCTGACTCTGCCTTTGTCCCCTGTTCCTGACTCTACCTGTGTCTCCTGTACCTGACTCTGCCTTTGTCCCCTGTTCCTGACTCTACCTGTGTCTCCTGTACCTGACTCTGCCTGTGTCTCCTGTTCCTGACTCTTCCTGTGTCTCCTGTACCTGACTCTGCCTTTGTCCCCTGTTCCTGACTCTACCTGTGTCTCCTGTACCTGACTCTACCTGTGTCTCCTTTTCCTGACTCTGCCTGTGTCTCCTGTTCCTGACTCTGCCTGTGTCCCCTGTTCCTGACTCTGCCTGTGTCTCCTGTTCCTGACTCTGCCTGTGTCTCCTGTTCCTGACTCTGCCTGTGTCTCCTGTACCTGACTCTGCCTGTGTCTCCTGTTCCTGACTCTGCCTGTGTCTCCTGTTCCTGACTCTGCCTGTGTCTCCTGTTCCTGACTCTGCCTGTGTCTCCTCTAACTAACTCTACATGTGACTCGTGTTCCTGACTCTGCTTGCGTCTCCTGTTCCTGACTCTGCCTGTGTCTCCTGTTCCTGACTCTGCTTGCGTCTCCTGTTCCTAACTCTGCCTGTGTCTCCTGTACCTGACTCTGCCTGTGTCTCCTGTACCTGACTCTGCCTGTGTCTCCTGTTCCTGACTCTGCCTTTGTCTCCTCTAACTAACTCTACATGTGACTCCTGTTCCTGACTCTGCTTGTGTCTCCTGTTCCTGACTCTGCCTGTGTCTCCTGTTCCTAACTCTGCCTGTGTCTCCTGTTCCTGACTCTGCCTGTGTCTCCTGTTCCTGACTCTGCCTGTGTCTCCTGTACCTGACTCTGCCTGTGTCTCCTGTTCCTGACTCTGCTTGTTCTTGACCATCCTCACCTGCCGCCTGCTACGTCCTCTACCTGTAAACCAACCAAACTTTTCCTCCTGGGTTGATTTTGGTCCGGTCATGCCGGGCTTGTCCCCAATTGTAGGCAGGAATCCCTCTGATGCTAATGCCTTCTGGTGTGATGGGGCTGTCCTTGTCTGACCGAAGCGCAGGAAGCTCTGGGTGACGTGTTCCCTGGGGTTGGCATCCCAGGGGTACCATAGAAACCTAGTGGGTGTGGGACCCCGCAAGTGTGGCACTAGGTCACGTCATTGTACATGGCACCTACTTATTGCACGAGCACTTTCCACTCCACAGAGACGGAGGGTGCAGGTCTCTCGGGGGGCTGCACTTGCCTAGTACTTGGAGGACCAGTTCCGGCTGGTCCCTAGGGACTGGGGTCCGCCAGGTGGTCTAGAGTGCCGTGCCCCTTTCAAGAGCCTTGCGCCCCTGGGGATTCAGGGACATTGTGGCCCTCTTTTCTGGAAGAGAACCAAAGCACCGTTATGTATTTTATTGTGTGCTGTGATTTCACTGTTCCCTTTTTTTGTTCAGGGGGGTGTTTCGTTTTATGATGCACGCACCCTGGAGCTTCATGAAAAAAAACAAAAAACCCTAAGGACCATGGCATGCTCATGGGCAGAGAGAGCAGAGTGACAGAGAGATATGAGCTTCTCAGTTCACTGTCCAATCACAAGCTGGGGGAGGGGCAAGTCCTATCAGTTTTACTGAACTGCAGCAGAAAGAGATGTTGTCTCCTGCCCTGCTAGAGAGTCAAAAAATTTCCACGCGTCGCTAGAGTGTTCGGGTTTCGCTGGAAGAAAAGGTGGCAACCCTAGTTCGCGCACAGAGGAGACTTTATTCTCTGATGAAGGTAAAAGGTTAATTACACTTCATGGACTCTGATGGAACTTTTACGTATTTTTTTTTAACCAGATGTCACCCCGAATCTCAGTTACTATAATTACTATAATTTGTAAATAAAGAACGCTGATGACAGGTCCTCTTTGCCCTCCTCGCCGTCACGTGAACGGCCTATCGGGCTCTCCGCCCACAGAACCGTCGCTCAAAGGGAGGAGTCTTCGGCCACGCCCCCTCATCCTCGCTCTCTTGATTGACAGTCCCACTCCAGCGCTGGCGCGAAGAGATTGACAGCTACCGGCGGCCAATGGGAGGCGCGATCTCCGCGCAGGGGGCGTGGCGGCAAACGCAGCCGGCCAACGGCGAGCAGGGAGGAAGGAGGGACGTCGTGTCAGCGCGAGGCGTTCGCTGGTAACGGTTCCCGAAGAGAACGGAGGACGGAGAGGCGGACGGAAGGATCCTTCCCGGTGTGTACAGGCCTATGGGTGTGTGAGAGGGAGTAAAGGGGGTGGGGTCCCGGGGTTGCCCTTGCCCTGCCCGCCCACGGCATGCTGGGACTTGTAGTTAACCCCTTGTGGTCACTGCTGGGCCAAGTTCCAGGGGTTGACTGCATTCGTTGCCAACCGCTCTCCTACGAGGTCGAACGTGCGTTTCCGTGGCGTCTACATGCGATCGGCAGCGAGCGTCCACGGCGAATCGCGATCTCCGTTGGCGCATCGCAGCCGCATGGACGCAATCGCCACTATAAAGCTGGCCAGACACACGTTACAATCTGATTAGACGATCCATCCCGTTTATGGCGGTTGGCACTGAAATAAAAAAAATATTAGAAATTGGAGTGAAGGCTTTTTATACGGCGCGCGACCGAGGACGCGATCGGATCTGACACCGCCAGCCGTGTCACATGACATGCGGGGAGCCCACGCGTTTATATTTTGTACAATCAGATTGTAATGTGTGTGGCCAGACATACAATCACCTCATCGCCCCCACGGTGCGGGTCAGGTGACCTGGGGACAGGAAACAGGACATCGCAAATCTGAATCGGGTCGGGTTGGGGTGTCAGCTTTCCAGGATCACCCATCATGGGATTCTACCGATCGGCATTGGGTGGAAATCCGGCACATTCCCGTGTTCATGTTTATCCAGAATCCAAAGCTGGCTTACATGGAGTTCGGATCAGTCAGAACCACTGCTGTGTCTCCGCTGGAGAGATTCCCTTCACTTCCTGTCCCCAGAGGAAATCCCATCATAGACAGATGTCATTGGAACAGGTGTCCCCATTGGAAGATTTCCTCCCTGTTCCGGTGACAACTAAGATTTTGGAGTTTCTATCTCTGTGACCATACATGCGTGACGATACATGATCACCCCCTGCGTGTATACTCAACCATACCAGGAACATACCCCGGTGTGTATACCCCCCACCATACCAGGAACATACCCCGGTGTGTATACCCCCCACCATACCAGGAACATACCCCGGTGTGTATACCCCCCACCATACCAGGAACATACCCCGGTGTGTATACCCCCCACCATACCAGGAACATACCCCGGTGTGTATACCCCCCACCATACCAGGAACATACCCCGGTGTGTATACCCCCCACCATACCAGGAACATACCCCGGTGTGTATACCCCCCACCATACCAGGAACATACCCCGGTGTGTATACCCCCCACCATACCAGGAACATACCCCGGTGTGTATACCCCCCACCATACCAGGAACATACCCCGGTGTGTATACCCCCCACCATACCAGGAACATACCCCGGTGTGTATACCCCCCACCATACCAGGAACATACCCCGGTGTGTATACCCCCCACCATACCAGGAACATACCCCGGTGTGTATACCCCCCACCATACCAGGAACATACCCCGGTGTGTATACCCCCCACCATACCAGGAACATACCCCGGTGTCGGTGTGTCCCCCCCCCACCAATGATCGGCTTCCTCTGAGCCGGTGAAGGGTGAATTCCGGTCGGTGACTGGACTCCGCACAGTTTTGGTGTTATGTAATCAGTTTGCGTCAGACGATTGTCGGCTGTCCAGATCCCGCTGTGCGCCGGGAATGTCGCCATTTTCCATGTGTCCAGCCAGATGTCACCGTGCAGAATGTC